CTTAAGGATGGGAAATGTGTGCATTATTCTGTGAGGTTTCACCCAGTGTCTGTGCCACAGGCCACTATGTTTTCACCTTTGTCCTCAGCTCCTCAGGGTCTGCTTATTAGTATCATTCACTTGTCGTTCACTTGAGATGGCACTATCTCATGATTTTTCCGTTTGATCACCCAGCTATATCACACAACAGTCTGCCTCTCTTCCCGGTGAGCTAAATTCATTCTATGCTCGGTTTGAGGTCAGTAACGCAGATCCAGTCAGAAAGATTCCAGAAATCCAAGCCGGAAACCCACTGATCATATCCAGAACGGATGTGTGTAAAGTTTTTAAAAAGACCAATCCACACAAGGCTCCTGGCCCTGATGCTATCCCTGGCCGTGTTCTGAAAGCATGTTCAGACCAGCTGGCAGATGTCTTCTTGGACATATTAAATCTCTCTCTAGCTCAGTCTATAGTTCCTTTCTGCTTTAAGAAAACACTATTGTCCCTGTTACTAAGAAACCCAGAGTCAGCTGCCTGAATGACTACCGCCCTGTTGCACTCACATCAGTTATCATGAAGTGCTTCGACTGGTTGGTCAAAGCATATATCATCTCCTCACTGCCTGACACTCTAGACACACTGCAATTTGCATACCGCCAGAACAGGTCAAGAGAAGATGCTATTGCCACTGCCCTCCATACTGCCCTCTCACACCTGGATAAGAAAGGTACATATGTGAGAATGTTGTTTGTTGATTACAGCTCAGCATTCAATGCCATAGTGCCCACAAAGCTTGTCATCAAGATCCAGGACCTGAGACTGAACACCTCCGTCTGTAATTGGATCCTGGACTTCTTGACGGAACATCCACAGGTGGTGAGGGTGGGCACCAACATATCCTCTACCCCGACTCGAAACACTGGAGCCCCCCAAGACTGTGTGCTTAGCCCTGTCCTCTACTCCTTATTTACCCATGATTGTGTCACCAGGCATAGCTCAAACTCCATCATGAAGTTGCGGACGATACAACAGTCATCGGCCTGATCACAGATGGTGAAGAGTCTGCGTACAGGGAGGAGGTTGAAACCCTGGCAGCATAGTGCCAGGAGAACAACCTCTCTCTGAGCATCGGTAAGACTAAGGAGATGATTGTGAACTTTCGGATCACCAGGGAGGAGATCACACACCTATCTACATCAATGGTACTGCAGTGGAGAGAGTCAGCAGTTTTAAGTTCCTGGGAGTTAACATCTCAGAGGACTTAACCTGGACCCACCACACCAACACCGTGGTCAAAACAGCACGGCAGCGCCTATTCTTTCTCTGTAGGTTAAAGACTTTTGGCATTCCATCACATATCCAGGCCAACTTCTATAGGTGCACTATTGAGAGCATCCTGACTGGCTGCATCACTGCCTGGTATGGGAGCTGCTCCTCCCGAGATCGCAAAGTACTGCAGAGGGTGGTGAAGTCATTACCGGCTGTGAGCTACCAAACATCCAGGAGATCTACTCAGCTAGATGTCTTAAGAAGTCCAGGTCCATTCTCAAGGACCCCAGTCATCCCAGTCACAAACCGTTTTCTCTCCTACTGTCTGGTAAACGGTACTGAAGCATTCGGTCCAAGTCCAACAGACTATAGGACAGCTTGTACCTCCAGGCAATAAGATTGCTAAACAGCCAACCTGCAGTTCCTTTACCAAATCACCTATAATGGCTACATGGACACACAGTTTCATTGTATTGGGAACACTGCACTACTAGGACATAATGTATTGCATACACTATGGACACATAGCTCTATTCATATTGAGTTTTTATTCAATTTCTATTACATTATAATTTATTATTATGTAACCATATTTTCATAGCCTTGGTGATTCTGGTGATTTTTGTGAGCTGCAGAAAAGACATTGCTGCACACTGTATTGTTTTGCATTTGATAAATAAACTTTGATTTGATTGGATTTGATTTGACACAAGTGGTGTAGTGTATTTCAAACAGAGAACAGAAGACTGAACAAGCTGCCCAGCCATGATGTTGAAACTGATTGATGAACACGACCATGATAGACCTTTCAAGAAGTGGCTGGATGAGATCCTGGAATCAACTAACTTCTAACAACCAGAAAGGCGCAGCATGGACCGAGTGTCTCCTTTTTGTGTAACTGTTATAGTTCTAATAACTGGGAGAGAGGGAGGCTGTGTGGACTGAACAGTCAATAATTTGAGATCTGGATGCCTCACTCCTCAGCGTTGACTTCAACAACACGTTGGCCAAGGAAGCTGCTGAGACCTTCCACTTGTAAAGAATCTCAACTTTAATGCAGGAAGAGTATTGACGAGCACCACCATATTGCAAAAGGTGTATGATCAACAGTATTTGATGTCACCACCTTATTAACCATGACTGATGCTTACTGCATGTATTTCACACTGCAGTTATGTGCCACACATGAACTGTAATTAACCTCTTCACTGTGGAATATGTCCTGATAGAGGTGCATTTGGCATAATTAATTTCCAACATTGCAGCAGAAGCTTCAGTGCCTTCTGCAATATTGTCTCCATTCCTCCTATACAGCTCCATTACATAGCAAGCACCTGTCCTGCAATACCTCTTGTTAGAACAGAAACATGGCATCACACACATTGCATCACATTACACTAAAACTCCATTAGAGAAAGCAACTTTAACACATTCCTAAGAAAACTTCAATTACATTATTATTATTATTATTTTGCAATCAAATGTAGTGTACAATGTATCAAAACCACATATTAACAATGAGTTCTAAAAAATAGCTAGTCTCTCACTTTCTGCTCAGATCACATCAGAAAACCAGATCTGCTGTTCATCCAGCCTGTTCATTAAGTCTGATTGGTTAGAGGAGAAATAAAACAGCTGACCTATATTAGAATGTCTAACTGCAACTAGATATCACCATTTGGCCTAACAAAGGTGTAATGATATATATCTCTTTCAGTTTTAAGGAATACTTGATCTCCTATCTATCATCCTGTTTCACATTCTCCTACAGTATATGGAATAATATGGTGACCCTTCATGTACATAAAACTAAAATACATCATAACTGTTTTTATATGTTAAATGTATGTTTATATATCCCTCAACCCCCCAAAACCACCATACAGTCCCACTTCTTTAATTTGGCCCTGATGCCCCTCCCTCTGAACACGATGACAATCCCACAGTCATACTGTTGGTTTTTGGTGGTTATGGAGTGATAGTCATGGGTTTAGGGGTTGAGGTAGTGACTCTGATAGTTTTGAGGTTTGAGGGAGTGACCCTGGTGGTTTTTGTGATGCCTCAGAGGACGGGGGTATCTGGGTTGTGTTTAGGAAGAAGATGAAAATGTGTCGTGTTTGGATGGAAAGTAGTGATTGTTGGTTCTTATTGAGTTGGTAGAAGTATTAGTATTCATTTTTATGTAATTTATTCTTTCCCTTATACATTTAATCTGTCATACATTACATTTAATCTTTTTTATTTACTATTGTGCAGCTTGTCTGTGTGTTATATATATTTGCTGTGGCAAGACTTCAACTTTGTCATGCTGATGGAACAGTTTACCACTAGAGTGCACTGTTCCCTTCTGTGTCGGCGCAAAATAGAGCAAAAGGCATTGAGATTCCTAACTGACCTGCTGGCTCCAGTGCAAATTCACTCCACTTCCCCAAGTCAAAAAACACTGCAGCCCAGGTTTAATCAAATCTTCGACCCTTTTGCCAGTCACAAATCATAAAGCCTGACCTTAATCCATAACATCTTAGATTCTTGGTCTACCCAATTCTTCCCTGACTGTAATTCATGACTGGCAGGGGGGCCCATGCACATTTAAGCTTGAAATATGCTTCTGTGAAAATAAATAAGCATTCCAACTTTTATGTTTTATGATTCTACCTTCTCATGCTGGATTTGCACACTTGCCAGGTTTGACAGATGATTTCCATGATGATTTCAAAGCAACAATGTTAAAGAACATGTCAATTACAGTATTTCTGTAATTGAAATTTGAAATATAACTCTCCTGTGCTGGAGATTTTACTGTAAATCTTAAGTCTTAAATGCTAGACAGGTCTGGGTTTACACAAAATATCCAGCTTTACCAACAATGATGACTAATGCAAACATCTCCCTTTAGACATAGTTTCAAATAGCAAAATGAATGGAAGGCAAACTACCAGCTAGTACACACAAGGAAACACAGTGACATCTGTTATTATGTATTCTGACGTTACAAATGCCTGTTAAATGTGTTGTGGATCATGGCCTATTTCAGGTGCATCTACATGTCTTAAAAAGAGAAGCAGGAGGAAAGCTAGCTAGCCCTTATGCAGCGCGACTCTCTCTGAAGTTTGTGACCTCACTCTTCGTCACTCTTCATCACCCCACCTCAGCCTGCCTCTCTCCTCCCTCTGCATCACTCTGATGTCCCTGAGGGGGGTGCACCAGTGGCCAGTCAGAGCCCCACACTGACACAGGCACAGCTGCTTCGTGGCTAATGACAGCAGCCCTGTCCTGTCCACTGAACTGTCCAAACAGTTTTCAAAATCCATTCCATGAATACATCACAAAAAAATGTGACTCCGCACACCCCTCCAGCACAGCCCATGCTGAAGTCAGTCGAGCCGAGGACGAGCCACTGGAACAGAAAAGTGCAGCCTCTTCCTTCCCACAGCCTGCTCTCACCTTCACACCTCTCCTGTCCTCTCCCTCTACCACCCCACCCCCTCTTTCATCACCTATTCCAAGCCTCCTCTCCTGCTTCTCTCTCTCACTCCGCGCTCCCCTCACCTTCCCTCGCTCTCCTCTCCTGCAGCCGTGCGTCCTCTGTTTTTTAATTAAACTGAAACACAGGAGGCCCCTCCCCCTGTACCCTCAGCGATGATGACACACCGGCTCCTGCTGCCAAAGAGCATCTCTGGAAAAGAGAGAGAGGGAGAGGGAGAGAAGGAAGGAGACAGAGAGAGGAGGGAGGGAGGGAGGGAGGGAAGTAGCAGCCTGTGCTTTCATTTTCTCCGCACAGCCGAGAGCAGGCTGAACTGCAAGGAGAGGCAGGACCGCAGCCCCTCTCTCTCTGTCACGCACGCTGAGCCGGGGGGACAGCAGGAAGCGCGATGGGCTTCCCCCAAGCCAGAGGGTGTGCAGGCGGAGAGTAGAGTGAGCAGCGCCAGGGGAAGAGAGAGGGAGAGCCCAGCGAGAGAGAGAGAGGAAATAGAGTAATCACTGAAACTGCCCTGACCCTGCTGACAGCCTGCACTGGGACCTGACGATCTTACCACAAATACCTGCACTTCCCAAGCTAATCGAAGGCACACAGCAGGGGAGCAGAGGAGGGAAGGAGAGAGGAGAAAGGCTCACACACAAGGAGGCAGAAGAGGAGGATTCAGTGGGAGTGAGAGAATGCGAATTGAGGTGAAGGTGAGTGGGGGCTTTTCTCTCTCTCGGTAGTTTGCTACCTGTGCTGTTGCCGTGAGCTGGGGCTCCGGGGCTCAGCAGCCACACTGCTGGCAGGGTGCTGGCAGGCAGGATGTGCCAGAGGTGGCAGGACGGGGGGCCGGGAGAGGTCCAGCCCGAGTCACAAGCCTTGCAGGATGTTGGGAAACTCCAGTCATCCCCCCATCCTGCCACTCTGCTCTTCCCACGCTGCCTCTCGCTTAACACAGAGAGTCTGATTGAGACACCAAACTAATTTCACCAGCCCACTCACTCCTGCTCAGGTCATTACTCACGGAGGTGTATCCGCTGTAGGCGGGCATGTCTCTCTCCACGGGAGCGCCGAGCAGCTGTCTGAGGAGCCTGACTGTGTCTGTGTGTGCCTGCCTGCCCAGAGGCTCGCTCGCACCCAGACCCTCTCCGTGAGACGCATGGCTGAGGAGAGGAGCCTGTGCACGTGTCTGTGTCTCTCTCGGTACGTGGGCATCGGACTGAGCCTGCGAGCCTCAGACGGCTGGAATGAGGACAGGAGTCTACCAGCAAAGACAGGAGGTGACAGCAATAACTTGGTCTGAGACTTTTTAACTCAGCACTTGCCTTTGTGTCTGGTTGAGTGCGGCACCAGAGTGCGGAGACAGTGCAGATGATGCCGGGGGCTCGATTCTGACTGTCTCTGCACAGCTGCCCCTGGCCGTGGGTGTTGCTGGAGGGGACCTCAGGATTGCAGTGAGGGCTCCTCGTTACAGGCTATGAGGCTTGATTTGCTGTCGGCATGTGAGCCTTTTAAAAGGTGGTTTCTGGATAGCACTGGAGAGACTGCCATTACAAGGTGGATAAGAAGATCAGCAGTAACTATTATCTTTATCTGAGGACTGTGTGAACTGTTACTGTTATGAAGATGCACAGAAGGAAAAAGGCTCAAGTTTTATTTTTTTTTAAAAGCTTCAGAAGGACTCAAACTGCTTCAGTTTTAAGTTTGTTGTAAAGTTGATTTATCCACTTGTACTGTCACTAAACACTGCTATGTTAAGCAAAGACAGTAGATGTTGCATTGAGGTAATTGCACTGCTTTCATGACAGAGGGAAATGATGATACAGTATGTATAGATTGCATGATTGATTAATTGATTGAATGACTGATCAGACAGATCAGCGCAGCCTCACTGGCCTGTGGCAATGTCTTTGTGGTGTCAGCTTGGATGCAATGCCGAAACACACTGCTCTAGACTCCAAACTGGGAGACCGTGGTTTCAAATTCTAGGTGGGAAACAGCTGCTCAACCCTTAAGCAAGGTACTTCACTCAGACTTCACCCAGAATAGTGCTCTGTAGTATAAATGAGTACACATGTAGTCACTTTGGATAAGAGCATCAGCCAAATAAATTAATAATAATAACCGGCAGATCATTCTTCTACTGCAAACAGAAGTCAGCGCGGGAGGCAGGAGCATGTTATGTGCACTGTTCATGAACTGAATCTGTAACAGCACACAGCTCCTGCCAGTCCCTGGATGTGTAATTCATTTCTTCTCACAGAGATAGCACTGTCTAATTGGAAGGATTATATTAGATTTATACACAGTGCATTTGGAAAAAAATCCAATTATGTATAGTACCATCTGTATATAGCAAGGGAAGTCAAATGGAATTGGAGTTTAACGTTTAGTGAGTGCTATAAACCATAAAAAGAGAATGATCCACAGAGAGAGAGACAGAGCTCTCGGAGCTGGTTTTGTCCTGGAAGACACCGAGTCAGAGGGAGAGGGAGAGAGTGCAAGGGGCAAGGACAGACAGAGTGGGAGAGTTGTGTACCCCAGAAGAAGGGAGATGAGGGTGAAAGACCCCTATTGCAAAAAAAGAAAATAAGAATATAAGAAAGAGAATGACTCTGTTTGAACTCTGGAAGCTTCGCTCTCAGCTTCTGGAGTGAGAACACAGCGCCCAGTGAGCACCAGGGGTCAGATCAGGCTTTGGTTTAGAGAGTCCTGACCCACACAGTTTTCCTTGCAGTGCATCTGATTCCTTCCCCTTGTCTGTAAAACACCAAACCTGCACCTCTCAGCACTGGGACAGACCAAGCTCAGAGTCGTCACCACAAGCTGCACCCAAGACATTCCCCCCAATATGGGGAAGTCATGCTCTCCTCACAGGCAGTCAAACCCGGGATCCATGAGGCTGCTATGGCAGTGTAAACAGTGTGCCACCATGTTGCAGAATATCAGCCAGAACTATACAGTATGTGCTGCTCTCTGTCAGATCTGTCACACTACATTCCCATAACCTATTCATGAATCCCTTTGCAGGAGAACAGATGAGCATCCCATCACAAAGCAGCGTGATCCATGTCTGGTTTTACAAGCTATGAGCTCTTATACAGTACCTACTGTATGTCGGCTTATGTAGTTCAGGTTTATCGTCTTATTTTAGGGAAATTTTTATGCAAACATGAAGCTAAAATAATATGAAACATATATGCTTTTCTGGTTTATGGGTGTGTACTAGAACACTGTACAGTGTACACCTGTAATGGGTCCAAGATGCTGGGCAAAGACTTTAATTTGTTGCTGTGCTTCTTCCTGAGAGGCTACTGGTTTCTAGCGCTGACTGTTCACGCATCACAGAGGCTACTGGTGTGCAGAATTTCACTGAGATGAGAATATCACTTGATGAGCTGCTGTGATTGCTGAGCTCACTGTGCGCTTCTTTGCCCCTTCTCATTTCATTCTGCTTCGCCAAATCTGGACAAGCTAATGTTCCTAATTGCCTTTGATTGGTAGCTCTGACTATAAGAAACTTGCTTTTGCAGAAAGACGGCATTATTGTAAGTTGGTGTTTAAGAACGCAGGAGGGGTTACAAACAAGAAACATTCAGTCCATCAGGCCTACTTGGTAGATTTCCAGATGTTTCTTGGAAGAAGCCAGGGTATCAGCTTCAACAAAATGGTTGATAACTTATTTCATCCACCCACAACTGTTTGTGTAAAGACGTGTTGCCTGTTCATGATTTTAAAAGCACTTCCACAAGGTTTACAGTAGCAGTTTTATGACTCCAGGTTTGTTTTTGTTGTGTCAGAGATACTGAGTGGTAAGAATATGAGGAGTGAGATTCAAACCAGTGGATCCACAAGAAAAGTAGCTTCTTACACAGCGGTTTAGACTGCTTGCCCATCCTGACGTACTGTATGTATTTTAAGTTAGTAGCTGCGTCAGCATGCGCAGGCTGTAAAGGAACAAGTAACGGTTTATTCCAGCTGAAAAGAGAAGAAAAGAAACACAACGTTTCAGCTGTGACACCCAAAGAAGTCTCCACGGCTGAAATGTTGTGTTTCTTTTCTTCTCTTTTCAGCTGGAAAAAACCTTTACTTGTTGCTTTGCAGCCTGTATGTATTTTCATCAGGTACAGTAGCTATTAAATAACCACAGGGGTGAGACCGGACAGAGTGCAAGATAAGTAAAACTGATCAGGCTCTGCTCATCACCATCGACAGGTCAGTGTGGCCTCTCCGCCTCCCTGCCAGTGCCCATCCTGCACACTGTGCTCATATTGATTCTAACAGGAAAATAAGCCAGAGAGCAGGCGCGACTTCAGCCATCATGTAAACGAAGGCAGTGGCCTTCAGGACACAGAGATGCAGGCTGGGAGCTCCGTCTCTGACGATACTGTGCAGATCTGTCTTGAGAAGCTCTGCTCCTACTGGGAAAGCCATGCTGTCTGAGGAGCCTTCTGGAGCTGGGTCACACTGCATGAGTGTCCACTCTCTGGGAAGGCTGCAGACCTGCCTGTGCCAGAGGCCTCTTTTAATCATCAGCTGCTGGAGATTTTGTCTTCAATTAAGCAGTGAATTAGCAGGGATTGACGAAGTGCACTCCCAGGTGGACAGCTGGGGACAGCAGCTCACCTGAGGCTGTGGAGGGGTCGGAGCAGGCACTGCTGCAACACAAAGTCTGCTGTCAGTTCCTCTCAGTCTCTATTTCTCTCCCAAAATCTCAGCCCTTTCTCTCTTATTCTGTCTCTCACTCACACCACTGGCATTTCTTCTCATTCCTTCTTTCTCACTCAAATTCAGTTTGAAATCTCTCCCCTGTCCTCAGCCTGGTCCTCATACCCTGGTTCTCTTTGCAGACCTGCCTGATGCAGTTGGCATCCCGCTGACAATCTTCTCTGACAGCCCTTTACATAATAAGTTAATCTCTCCTCTACTCCTGTGTCTTTCTGTATTTCCAGCAGCCCAGAATGGGTAGAGATGAAAAATAAAACACAGTCAGCATGATCATAATTAAAACCTTCAGTAACAATGGCCTAGGTATTGAGAATACACAGCACTCAACGATCACGAAAGTGCGCTCTTAAAGGTACGATGAACAAGGACATGATTCAACATGATTCACGTACTCCACCAGCTCAGGACAGAGCTCGACTGTTGTGGGAGAGCACAGAGCCTGCTTCCCGGGACAGAGCTTGACTGCTGTCCGAGAGCTCAGAGCCTGCTGACCGGGACAGAGCCCAACTGTCATTAGAGAGCACAGAGCCTGCTGCCAAATACTTATTCTGGGAGAGCTGCCCTTCTCCCTGCAAGAACAGTACAACTGGGGAAATGTTACCCAAGGAGTGTTTTAAGAGAGCCCTGCCAGAAATGTCCCAAATGTACTGTCTACACTACAGTCAAGACATGCAGAAGTCTCACCCAGCCTTCCCTTCCCACATGTAGTATGTAGTCTACCATAGTGTACTGTAGTGTACTGTAGGATACATGTAGTGTACTGTAGCATACCACAGTTAACTATAGAACTTCTGGTGTTCTGTCTTTCATGCTAGGCATGGTGTTGTGTGCACATTCTCTCTGTATTGGAGCTGCTCGTTTAAAAACACTATGCCTTGGCCTCCTGCCAGTTCAATCCCACAGACGCCAGCCTCCTCCCCAAGTACCGCTTGTCTGAGTCACCGGCCACACACAGCCCAAAGGTCTGCAGACTCCCGCCAGTTGC